GAAACCCTATAGATCCCAAACCCTAAACCCCTAAACCCTAGATCCTAAACCCTAAACCCCGAAACGCTTGGAAACCCCTTGAACCCCTAAAAAACCCCTAAGCTGTAGGGATATGGACAGTTTTCTAAAGTAGGGTCTCGTTTAGGCTCCTTTGTACAAGGGTGCCGTACTATTTTGGGGACCTGAAACGGGACCCTAAACCCTAAACCCTAAACCCTAAACCCTAAACCCTCATTTAGAGAACGACCCAGCGAAGCCCTCCGGCCTGAACTTTGCGCCCTCTGGCGGTGCTTTTCGTGTTTGAGGCTTGGATGTTCGATTGTTGGGGAACGGTCGAACTTAGTTGGTTTAGGGTTTAGGGTTTAGGGAGTTTAGGGTTAAGGCTTGAAAGTTTTCAAGGTGCTAGCAGCATAAAGTTGGGTTTCTGTTGCCCTTTGAAGCCCTAATCCGTTCCTGTGCGGCACTGGACCAGTCAGCAATTTCTATAGGGGCCCAAATTTTTACCAATACTATGTCGGGGTTCCTTGTTATAGTCATAGCAGAATCGACCCCAAAACCCTATTCTAATTCTAAAGGCCCGTATGTTAACTACAGGCTGCTGGTTTCCTTATCCCTGTGGGTCCATTTATTGCTCATATAGTATGTACATTGGCCTTAAATGAAAGTAGAACCTTATATAGGTAAATTGGGTCCAAAGTAGGTACATGGATTTAAGGGTATAGATTGCCGCAGACATCGTGCAGTCGAAAAGAAGGAAATCTTCTCAGCGTTGCTCATGAAATCCTGGTCAATGAACGCGATGTCCAAGGGTGCCTTAAAGGCTTACACTAAACCCTAAACCCTAAACCCTAAACCCATAAAGGGGTTCAGGGAAGGGTTGCTAATCAGTATGCTGTGCGGGGCTTGGGTTCAGGGATCCTTGGTCGGGGTGGTCGTACCCCGTATCTCTGAATGTCTCTGAATGTGACATTTAAACCCTAATGGTCCGACATCGAGCATGGTTTAGGGTTTAGGGTTTAGGGTTTGATAGTGGCCTCAAGGGTTTCGAGGGTATAGTATGGCTCTATGGCATTGTTACAATAGGGGGCTCAAGCGGGATAGCACTCCGACCTGTATGTTACGCCCTTGATAGACAAGTATCACTGGTCTACGCCCTTTGCATTAACATCAAGAATCAGAATAGATTATGTGGGGTACATAGACTCTTAACCCCAACCCTAAGAACCCATCGAGTAGCCTTCTGGGATCCGGTGGTTCGCTTTTGTGCTGAGTCCAAGAAAGGGCTGCCAGAATAGGTACTCTAAGTGAGTTTCTACTCTATAGGTACATGGAGCCTGAAGGAAATCCTCAAACAATACTTCCAAAAACCCTAAACCCTCAACCCTAAACCCTAAACTCTAAACCGAAACCCTCAGCCACAAGTCTTAGGAGGGGAGCTTCTGAAGTCTCGGCCAGGTGATTCGCTCAAACGTCGGGGGCCCAGGTGTCTCACCCCTAAACCCGAAGCCCTAATATAGCGGCCTCAATAATTACCTGCACTATTTTGGGGGTTCCGTCTTATAATTATAGTATAATGGGCCCCAAAACCCTATTCTAATTATTAAGGCTTCTACATCCTGCCCTCAGCCCTGAACCCGAATAGCTGAGCCCGAAGCCCTGCTAATTGGTGTCGGTTCAGAGTTTGAGCCCTCTACTTAAAGGATCATGGGGGTTTAGGGTTTAGGGTTTAGGGTTTAGGGTTTAGGGTTTAGGGTTAATCATGGGACTTAGTAAGTAAGGTTATAAGTCCCTTAATTGGGGTTCTAAGTATAGTTACCCGAATTATAACCCTACTTACTAAGTCCCATGATCCTTTAAGTACTTGGGACAGGTCGGTGGAGGCCCAAGCAGTTAGCCTGATATTCACAGGGGTTTAGGGTTTAGGGTTAAGCCTAAACCCCTAAACCCTGAACCCTGAACCGGTGTTGCAGGCTCCAAGAAGCTACTGATGTGTGACTTTGCGGCGGTACGGCATCGTACCAGGTGGCAGGAAGAATTCCGTACTTGGTAGATTGCAATCTCTGAGCTTTAAGTGGCCACACCCTTAGACCCCAAACCTTGAACCCAGAATAACATTTTCCATCAGCGAGAACAGATGTAAATGTATTATAAAGTAATATGAACTAATATTTGCCCGGAACCCACCATTACCTTTAAGCCCACATAAGCCCTCAGTGATCCTAAGGGTCTAGTAGCCCAAGTTGTAGGGCTTACGGTTTAGGGTTCTGTTTAAGGCTTTATGGTTTTTAGGGTTTAGGGTTCTGTTTAGGGTTTTAGGTTTAGGGTCGAGGGTTTTCGAGCTTAGGATTTAGGGTTCTGTTTAGGGTCCTAGGGTTTAGGGTTTTAGGGTTTTAGGGTTCAGGGTTTTCGGGCATGCGGTTTAGGGTTTAGGGGCGCCCTAAGGTCAGAGCTGAGATTGCAGGGAGGGGGACGGATTTCAGACACGGCTACTTAGGGGTACTTGGAAATAGTGCTAATGTAGGGGCCTTAATAATCAGAATAGGGTTTGGGGTATATTATACTATGATTGTAATATGGAACTCCCAAAACCCTATTCTCATTATTAAGGCCCCTATCTTAATCCCTAAGAAACAGCCAATACCCAAGTTCAGTATAAGTTAGGCCGAATGGTTCCTAGTGTCCAAGCCCTACAAACCCTACGGTTTGCTTGCTTGGACCCTTTAGAGTTGCAGCCCAGGTGATTGTGCCAGACATGGCGGAACGCATTGCGCAGTTGGGCGCGGGCGTCTTGGTGTCCTACCCCGACCCTGACGTGAAGTTCATTGCAAGGACGTTTAACCCCTAAACCCTAAACCCCTAAACTGTAAACCCTTAACCCTAAACCCTAAACACCCGGAGCTGCAAGGCTTCCATTGTTCGGCGTTCTAGTTTCAGAACCGTTAGGGTTTAGGGTTCAGGGCTTAATTAGGGCTTTAGGGTTTAGAGGTTTAGGGGTTTAGGGTTAGGGCTTAGGTTTGCATCCTATAAGTATGGTGTCAGAGCCCGGTATTTCAGGTCTTGTGCAGTTATACCACACACCTACTGCTATGTACCGTTTGGCTCTACATGTAGTTCCGATAAGCCATTATAAACCCTTTTGCCAGCATCGAAGCCTAGACTCTAAATGCAAATTTCAAGGCATTTGCTAATTCTACCTAACTGCAAATCCCAAAATTAAACCCTAATGCCTATATAATCCCTAAACCCGACGTGTGGGATCTAAGGCATATTGGAACAGTTCGAGGCAGTTTACCGCCTCTGCGCCAACATGACCACCATGGACACCTGGTCTCGGATTTTGGGCTTGGTTTTGGGTTTGGGGTTTAGGTAAACCATACCTATAGTCTCCATTGCAGCATTGTAGCTCCTTTTTCGATTTAAGCAAAGATATATAATATGAAGGATTTTAGAAGGTATCCCCAAGAAGGAACTACAATGGAGACTGTAGGTAGAAATTGGGGTTTGGGGTTTAGGGCAACCCTAAACCCCAAACCCCAAACCCTAAACCCTAAACCAAGCATAAAAGAGCTGTTGGTGGCGTTTCCGTGGTTCTGCCTGACAACACAGGACATAGTCACATGCACTAATGTCTGATTCCCTTTATCTTTTGATGGACCAGTATCGCTACAGACCTTGCCTGGCTTGTCCGAGAGTGAGTGCCAAAACAAAACCCTAAACCCAAACCCTAAAACCCTAAACCTCTCAGGCTGAAGGTGGGCTTAGGAACTGGCACCCCTCAACCCTTGAGTCGCATTCCCGACTCGTTCAAATCGTAGCCCGGGCATGGCCACTTCCTTGAGTTTGCATTTCAGGGTTGAGGGTCTATAGCGTTTTTGCATTCAGAATGCTGGAATTGAGGTCTTCGGACTTCCGTTTTTTTTTCGGGAGTGAGAGCTTCAGTCTTCAATTCGTGGACAGTTCGTGCCCCTAGATAAGGTACCGAAGATTCTGACTCCTGGCCTCACTTTTCTTTAAGCTCTCTGCTAACTTTGAATGGCTGGAACTTCGGAGCTGAGAGTCTTAGTTCCAAGTTTTGGAGGCTTCAGATTCCCTAAACCCTATAAACCCTAAACCCTAAACCCCTTATGATTCAGGGATTCGGACTTTTGGGGCCTCCCCCAAGCCTCTCCCAACGGAAGACATCGGAAAGCCTGAGGAGCAGCCCCTCCGGCAACGCCCATGCCTTTGATTTCTTCGAGGTGCGTGGCAGCGATAAGACCGGGTGTCGGGACACCGTAAGCTAAATTTGCCAAACCCTACATGACTTCCAAAAAATGTGTAGGATTCGTCTGACAACTGACAAAGACTCGCCTCTGGAGGCTGTTTCCGGTTGCCAAAGAGAAGTTTCGATAGAGTCCGAAGCCATGTTGCAATTCGGCCACGAAGTGTTTTGCAGACGTGATGTTTGTGCGTTGCACATGCAATGAGAACGAGCTCTGCATCTTCATCACAACGACCTATGGTGACCTAGTGCCTTAATGTATGTGCCGAGTGTCGTAGAGGAGACTCCAAGCTGACGGCATCATGCGACAAGACATAAGACATAGCGCCAAGCATGCCTATCCATGACCATGCTTCACATGCGCAGGTTGTGATACTTGCAAGGGCTTGGGTAAGTGAACTTCGGACCTAGGGGATGGTGGCCCTGCGATGGGTTGTCACCGAGACTCACGGTTTCGTCCCTCTGCGAATAGGAGCCAAAGGAGGTTTGCTGTTGCTGCGAAGAACCCAGGCTGTGAAGAACCCTAGGCCCAGGCTTTCGGGGGCAAAGGCATCGTCTGCGATGGCAAAGGAACGATCCCAGAAGGCCGAGAACGGTCAGGGACTCCCGAGGTTGCTGCTGGCCTGCCTGTTCAGGACCTATTCGTAGATTACTCTACAGTCAGATGGTTGGGCTGGCTCGTAGAACAGGTAAAGATGGCATGATTGTTTTGTTTAGTCTGCGTGCAGAATGCCGTCGCCTCACCCATGGGCTGCTCCAGTGCTTAGACGACAGCCCACGCACTGTTGGCCGGGTGCGGGGCACGAAGCAGGGGGTGCGGCCCCTAGGCACCGGAAGCCTTGCTCTGACTGAGGGCAAGGAAATAGACTTCGTGAACATCCGGCAGTTTCCAGATGTTTGCATTCCTGCCCGATGTGGGAGAGGAACGAAGAATAAACGCCTAGGGCTTGCACCCGGGGTCCCTTGAGGCCAACGTTCTGAGCATTGCGGGGCATGACAGTGGGGCGATGGGCTAATGCGCTCACTGGGGGACTCTTACAGCACACGTCGGGTTTGACGCTTGTCCTTCCCGTTCTTTTGTGCTGACCTGCGGCTGAAGCAGGGGAGGCCACACAGGTCGTGGTTGTTGCATGATGGGCAGTAGTTGTCCTTTTCGTTGCATGTCGCCTGTGTCCTACTCGTATAGGATATTGTGATCCTAGTATGTCCTGGTCGGTAGTGGCGGCAAACTTTCGCGGTGCCCAATTGCTAAGATTCCATCCTGCATCACTCAGACGAGCATCTTTGATGATATCAAGCCGAACATACACAGCGACTGGATTCTGGGTTGTTGTGGCGCAGCACAAAACCAGCCATGTGACCAATTGATTGAGTAAGGTGCGTCGGGAATCGACCTTTGGGCTGTAGCACGCATTTCCAAGCTGAAGTGTAGGGTTTAGGGTAAGTGACATGTGTTTTGCTTGATTTCAGCAGGGAGATCTGGACCAGATAATTATAGCCGATATTTCGACAGCGTTTCTCCAGTTGGTGCGGAGAAGATGTTGCCTCACCCATGGGCTTTTCCAGTGTTTTGGAGAACAGCTCACGCACCGTTGGCCGGGTGCGGGGTCCGTTGCAGGGGGTGTAGTCCCTCGGGACATCCGGCAGTTTCCAGATGTCTAAAAGATCCCTCCGGTTTTTCCGGCAGAGGAATCTGGAGCCCAGGGGTTTGCACCCGGAGTCCCTTGAGGCCAACGTGCCGAGCACTGCGGCACATGACAGTGGGGCGATGGGCTAACGCGCTCACTGGGGGATTCCTACAGCACACGTCGGGTTTCGCTCATGGCTTTCCCGTTCTTTTGTGCTGACCTGCAGCTGAAGCAGGGGAGGCCACCATGGCAGTGTCCCAAGCTTGTGGATGCAACTCGTGAGTTTCTTGACTTTCGAGGGGTTAAGGAATGTCGGCGGCCTTAGGTACAATTTAATGTCTTGTTGTTGACTCGTTCTTCCACACGACTTCTCAAGAGCTTGGTCCAGCCCCAAAATGTGCCATACACACACACACACAAACACATGCCCGCACGCCTGCCTGCCCGCACCACCTCGCGCGTTGGTGTAGAGAACGTGGTGTAGAGAATGTTGCCTCACCCATGAGGGCTTTTACGAGCAGCCCACGCACGGTTGGAGGATCCCTCGGCACTGCAAGCCTTGCCCCATGTCAGATGGGCAGGTTTATGTGGCGAAGGGTGCAGACAAGCCGACAAGCTAATATGGTTTACACCCAGGGTCCTTTGAGGTCAACCTGCCAGGCATTGGGCACATGACATTGGGACGATGGACTAGCCCGCTCATTGGTGATTGTTTAGAAGATTTCCGCGGCCTGCCTTGATTCTTTCTGACATTTTCTGACACAAGACTTCTCAAGAGCTTGTCCCAGCCTAACAGTGACATACTCACACAGACACACGAACACATGCTGCAAAGGTCAGGGGGATGGGATCGAGACCTCCAGGGAGACGGTACGGCTAATGAAGCTGACACTGCCCTGACAACCCCGCTGTGAAGACACGCCATCGTCTGCATGGCCTTACGCATTGGCCTCGCTACTGCCGGATTTTCTTCGATGAATTGACCACTTTCCAACACGTGCCATGACAATCTATAGTATCCCAGGAGTCAGCAACACCACCGTTGTACTGTTGTTCCCTATCAGACTATCATCAACCTCGTCGTTTGTCACTGCCCGCCGTTTTTGGCTTGTGAATGAGCCTCGGGCCAGCAGGTTGTGACAGTAGACTTTGTAGACTTCATGCCCTCATTCCATTTTTCCATGGCCAAGTCCACCACATGATGGTCTCCGTGGCTCTATCCCTTATCCATATCATGAAGGGTAACCGTCATCCTTGTCATCGGCAAATACGATCACCTTTCGTTGTCGTCCTTGTGGCTATGATATCTTTCTGATCTCTATGTTTCCAGTTGCTCTCTCTGGATATACTTGTTGGCCGTTTGACAGTTTGTTCAGGTGTACTCCGCTATGCTCTTACTTCATAAGTTTTGGCTTGATTAGTATCTGCCACGCTTCGGCCATCTCGCCGGAGCGCACGCGGCCTGAAAGGGTTTGCTTGGGTTTCGCTGGTTTCTGTCCATGGGAGTCTTAAGACTTAGCCGTATTGCTGAGATGAAGCCCCAGCAGGT